GCATTAGGGTGTGCACCCTAAAGCACAAACACACGCCGCGTGTATATGTAATATATATATATATATACACACACACACACATACATTTTGTGATAAGGTGAATGGGGTTGTTTGTGAGGGAGTTTATATTTTCGATAAATTGTTCAGAGCGGCATATGATATTCAAACCCAAGGGGAGTATGTGTTGTATCCAACATAAATGCACGTTTAGATAAATAGAAATAAAACTCTCCCTGGTAGACAGGTAGAGGAGATTGTTGGTTTCTCCTTTCTAGGTTGGAAGCAACAGGCTGGCTTGGAGCACTGGAGTGCAGAAGTTGGCAGTCAAGGTGACTGAGCACGAGAGTGCAGAAAAGAGACAGAAAACAAGGTTGGTGGAACCTGTGTTTTGTTACGTTTAACTCTTGATGGATAAGGACTTAAATGTCAGTAACTGCTCAGACAAGCTAGGATTTCATTTGCAGGGAATTCAGTTACCGTATATACTCAAGTATAAGTCGACCCAAATATAAGTCGAGACCCCTAATTTTACCCCAAAAAACTGGGAAAACGTATTGAGTATCGAGTATAAGACTAGGGTGGGAAATGCAGCAGCTACTGGTAAATTTCTAAATAAAATTAGATCCCCCAAAAATTACATTAATTGAATATTTATTTTGTGTATATAATGAATGCAGTGTGTGTGTATGAATGTAGTGTGTGTGTATATAATGCAGTGTGTGTAGTGTGTATGAATGCAATGTGTGTGTGTGATGCAGAGTGTGTAACCTTGGGGGTGGGCATTTTTATTATTTTTAATTATTATTATTTTAATGTTAAATTTTGTTTTTTTTTATATTCTTTTTATTTTATTTTAATATTAAACTTATTATATTATTATTTAAATTAGTATTTATATTTTTTTGTCCCCCCTCCCTTCTTGATACATGGCCAGGGAGCTCTCATTCCCTGGTGGTCTAGTGGCATGGGCTGTGTGGGAGGGGGGCTGGCAGCGAGCTGTTACCTTTCCTGCAGCTCCTTCACCTCCGTTCCGGTCAGCTCCCTTCTCCTCCACTGTAAGTATCGCGAGAGCCGCGGGGTCAGAGCGTTGCCACTCAGACTGCGAGACTTACAGTGGAGGAGAAGGGAGCTGACCGGAACGGAGGTGAAAGGAGCTGACAGGAGCTGCCAGCCCAGGACTGCTGGGCTTGTAATGAGCCCGGCAGTCCTGGTCTGTATTATGGCAATGTAAGTTGCCATAGTACAGACACTGACTCAAGTATAAGATGAGTGGGGGTTTTTCAGCACAAAAAATGTGCCGAAAAACTCGTCTTGTACTCAAGTATATACAGTATATTATTGTTTCTTCTGTATTGCTGCTGTCTATTGAGCGGATTTCTCAATAAATTGCCTGGAGTTATATTAAAACCCAAAAACTGTGCATGTTTTATACCCTAGAGGACCGTGCTAATTGCAATATAGGATCACAATATATATACATACATATATATACAAATACACTCTTCCATACATACACAGACCCGCACTCATATAAATAAACATTTAAAAATTTATTAAAACTCATGCACACTGCACATTACTGTATCACAGAGCTCCGCCAGCAATAAAACTCATAGTGATGGGCAGTGTGCATGATGATTACAATTCAGGGACACTTCCTAATCCTTGCCCCTCCCGGACCCCCTCTTCATACCGGACACAGCGGCGTAGTGTGGATTTCAGCGTCCATTCCCCCCATATTTCATGTACACCCCCCCATTTCATGTCTATCCCCACTATATGTCATGCCCATTCCTCCGTATTTCATATCTCCACCATATTTCAAGTCCATTTCCCCCCCCCTCCCGATTTCATGTATATTCTCCCATATGGAATGTAGGGTACATGTTGAGAGATCAGAAACCGATGGATTCAAAAGTTCAACGATTTGAACTTGGCACGCAAGAGAGACACACACGGGAATGAGTCCAGGATTGGTCGTACAATGCAAAGCCAAAAACACACACAATCAGGAGGATATTAACATTTTTAAATTCTCTGAGTTGGAGGTGGTGGGAGAGCATATGATAGAAATTACAGGAAGGATGTGTAATTGTCTAGGACACTGAAGTCACTTGTGACTGTGCTACACTGTAGTATAAGAGATTTTGTATTCAAGGCAAACAGGTAACAGAAATTATAGCAATATAATTGCTTTGCACCAATAATGGAAAATGGTGAGGGATGTGTAAGCAATGTTATATTAATGTTCTATTATATGTGACTCTTTAATATGATGTTATGTCACCATTACGTGTTTCTGTGAAATCGCAATAATATGAACATAGTATGGTCTTATTAAAAATAAATCATTTGCTATCAGATTTAAATGCCAAAAATTGTATTTTCTGTTTGACTGGTTTACAGTCAGATTGAAGGAAGATTTGTTATGATCTTGCCAGACAATACATTTCAATGGGGTTTCTTGAAGAAATACATAGAGCAAGGTCAAACAACCAGGTGGAGCTGTTAATTTGCTGCAACACTTACTACCCATGAAGATGCATTTGATGACCACAAAAAGACTGCATTATATGTGTAGCAGATGGCACCAGGCGACCCTACAAGAAATACTGTATAAAGCTGCATACGTGTATCTGCTGTAATTTCTGTGTATTTAAAAAGAATTGTATTCCTCCGATTGTTCGGTAGTTTCATTCCCTTAGTTTATTCGAATGAAACTACCGAACAACCAGA